TTCATTGTTATTACTTTCCCAAGGTCTAGCATTCTATCAGAAAGCTCCTCTGAGCCAAGCGATGTGGCTCATGCCTGTAATCCCAGCACTGTGGGAGGCCCAGGTGGGTGGATCACCTGAGGTCAGGAGTTCGAGACCAGCCTGGTCAACATGGTGAAACCCCATCTCTACTAAAAATACAAAAATTCGCTGGGTGTGGTGGCAGGTGCCTGTAAGTTCAGCTACTCGGGAGGCTGACGCAGGAGAATCGCTTGAACCCGGGAGGCAGAAGTTGCAGTGAGCCCAGATGGCATCACTGTATTCCAGCCTGGGCGAAAGAACAAGACTCTATCTCAAAGCAAGCAAGCAAGCAAACAAACAAACAAACAAAATGAAAGCTCTTCTATAGGGTAAGTTGAAATATTTCTCCTTTAGCTGCAAGAGTGGTCTTCTCAAAACCCAAGTCTGCTTATGTCACTTGCCCACTTAAAATCATTCTGTGGTTTCCTGTTATTCTCATGGTCAAGACAGACATCTTTAGTTTGACCTATCAGCCTTCAAGGTCTGGGCCCTGCCCCCTCATCTTCTCCCCTTGCACACTTTGCCCCCAAGACCTGGGGAGGGGCTTCTTTGATTCTTCCCCTCTGCCATGCTTTGCCCCACCATGGGGCCTTTGCCTGCCATGCCCCTCCCTGGAAAGCCTTCTCCACCCAGCCTGCCTTGCCAACTCCCACTTGCCCTTCAGCTCTGCTGTTACTCCACCAGTGCTACTCCCTGACAGTCTCACCAGGACAAATCCTCACCTTGCCATTCTCATGGCATCATGCCACAGCTGGCATCTTACATTTATTGGTGTGGTCATTTTTGCAAAGTCTGTCACCTGTGTTAGACTCTAAGCTCCAGGAGAACAGAGACCATATCTGTTTTGCTGGTCTCGTGATTCCTCTGTGCCTAAGCACTGCTTGGCACATAGCTGAAGTTCAATAAATATGTGGTGCATAAACAAACTGGCCCCAATTGGCCTCTTGATAAAGTCCACCGGTTGCTTCAGTTCTGCCGTCTGCAACTCTTCAAAGCAGTCAGCGCCTTCTACCCTGAGACCACCTTGCAGGGGTGGGCGGGTGCCTTCAGGACTCCCAGTCTTCTCTCCTCAAGGCTGAACAGCCAACACTCCTATAGCAGGTGGCACTTCTAGACCCTCTACACCCTCCTTGGGTTCAGGTTGTAGGATGCCTAGAACCAGACTCAACACCAGGGAATGAGGAGCTTTTCAAAAGTGATTTGCCCATACAGTTCTGCCAAGTGACAGGAAACGGTGATGAGGTTGAGGATTAATACCCCGTTAGCCTTTCACCCTGAGGCCCTTGATCTCCATGTCCTGAAGCTCACACCTTAAGTGTGTTTTATGGGATAAGAGAGCCCCAAATAGAATATGGACATTTCACATGAGGAAGCCATTTCGGATCTCTGTCAGGATCAGCTTGAAAACCACTTGGGGTGGGGATAAATGAGTGGTGGAAGCTTGCAAGGGCGTCAGCAAAAATAAACACCTGTGATGAAGTTGAACTCTTCATTATTGTTTTTAAATCAGGGCCAATCTGAGGCAAAAGTATAAAGTAGATGGAGAATGTTTAAAAAATAAAAAATAAAAAAACAAACCCCACCATTTTCCAGAGCCATCTTTGGGCTCTTTCTGAGAAATTCTTCTTTTATTTGAAACGGAGTCTCACTCTGTTGCCTAGGCTGGAGTTCAGTGGCACAATCTCAGTTCACCATAACTTCTGCCTCCCGGGTTCAAACAATTCTCGTGCCTTAGCCTCCCGAGTAGCTGGGATTACAGGCAGTTGTCAACATGCCCGGCGAATATATATATATATGTTTTTCGTATTTTTCGTAGAGACGGGGTTTCCACCATGGTGGCCAACCTGGTCTCGAACTCGTGACCTCAAGTGATCCACCCGCCTCGACTTCCCAAAGTGCTGGAATTACAGGCGTGAACCACCGCGCCCGGCCTCCTCCTGAGAAATTCTTTTTGGGTCTCTGCCTCTGGAGCAGGGAGAGAAGAGTGTCGGGGAGCCACAGAGCTCGTCGGGACCACCCTCAGATGATGTGGTTGAGGAGCTGGGCCTGCAAGGTGACCTTCAAACCCACACTCTGCTCCATTCTCAACGCCACCCCGGCCTGAGGTCAGCTGTGGAAGCGACACCAGGACAAGGCAGGCACACACAGTGTCCTCCCTTGAAGGGCAGAACTGGAGTCTTTCCTGTGTTAGTTTTCCCCTCAGCCCGGCCCAGGGCTTGGCAAAGCTGGCTGCGGGTTAGAATCGGCTGAGGAGCTTTTATGAAAGCGCATGGCAGCTGTCCCCGCAGGAGGTTCTGTTGCTGAATGAGGTTGTGGTGCCAGATAGATCTGACTCCCCACCTGGTTTGGGGACCCCGGGTGCATTCTCCAGCCGTGCCTCAGTGAGTGCTCAGGACATGTCTGCTGAATTGAAATAGATTTTCAACGGACTGAACAACAACCTGCTTTGTGACAGGGAATCTAGAAAACAGCCTGAGACGAGGGTGGATCTCCCAGCCTCCATGCCGCAGGCCTGGAGGTTTGTATAGTCGACGTTCTCCCCCTAGTGGCACGACTGAAGATGACAGGCAGGAGGGAAAAAAAGCCTTTCCACCTGCGAGGCCTGGCTGCCAAAGGCTCCAGAGATGCGGACGGACACCAGGATCCAGCTGCTCTTGCCTGACTCGCCCTCCCTTACCTCGCCCTGATCCCGGCCTTGTCAGATCTCATCTTTACTTAACATTTTGATATTTTATCATAGTTTTTTGGTTAATTTTGATTCATTAAAATATTGTATTAAAATATTATTTCTGGCTGGGGGTAGTGGCTCATGCCTATAATCCCAAAACTTTGGGAGGCTGAGACGGGTGGATCTTTTGAGGTCAAGAGTTCGAGACCAGCCTGGCCAACATGGTGAAACCCCGTGTCTACTAAAAATAAAAAAAAAATTAGCCAGCCATGGTGGTGGGCACCTGTAATCCCAGCTACTCAGGAGGCTGAGGCACAAGAATCGTTTGAACCAGGGAGGCGGAGGTTGCAGTGAATTGAGATTGCACCACTGCACTCCAGCCTGGGTGACAGAGCAATATTCCATCTTGAAAAAAAAAATTATTTCTGCCAGATGCGCTAGCTCATATCTGTAATCCCAGCACTTTGGGAGGCTGAGGCGGGAGGATCACTTGAGACTAGGAGTTTGAGACTAGCCTGGGCAACATAGCAAGACCCCCATCTCTACAAATAATTTAAAAATTAGCTGTGTATGGTGGCACAGGCCTATAGTTCCGGCTTCTCAGAAGGCTGAGGTGGGAGGATCAATTGAGCCCAAGAGGTTGAGGCTGCAATGAGCTGTGATCGTGCCACTGCACTCCAGCCTTGGACAGAACAAGACCCTGTCTCAAAAATATATATACATATATTTCTATTGATTACTGAGGTTTTTGTCACTCTCTTACATTTTGTGCATGAGGTGAGTGCCTCAATTGCCCTCCCCCACCCTCATCATAGTCCTGATGCAGAAGTCAGCCCACGAAGCCCCCCCTAGATACACAGAGTGCGACCCCCATCATTTGTCAGGTGAGCCCTGAGGTTCCACCCAGGGTGGGGCTGGCCTGTGAGGGCCTTGTGTGTCTAGTGCTCTTTGCACTGTAATCATGGGAGCTGCAGATTCTCCAGGCTTTCTCCAGAAGGGGAATGGCTGCCTTTCAAAGTGTGTTCTAAATGAGAAAATACCTCTGGATCAAGGGCGATTCGAGAGCACAAAGATGCACTGGGTTCTGTGGTGCTTACATACGTGGAGACCTACAGGTAGGCCCTGGTTGCTGAAGCCCATGGCAATCAGCCATAGCTAGGAAGAAGGGCTGGGGCCCAGTGCATCTGGGAAGGCCACCGCCTTGGAGCCCCTTCCTCATCTGGGCCACCATCCCGCATCATCAGCCTGAGACCTCCAAGTGGCTCACCAAGGAGGCAGCCATCCTCAGAAGAGTCAGGGGATAAAGGAGAGCTCATCCTTGACATCACTAGCTACCAGAGACCTGCCTCAACTGCATCATCTGCTTCTGCCCCCTGCCCCGCCACAAACCCACCATCTGCAGCAACCCTAGACCACATCCAAGGAAGACAAGACCCCAGCCCTGGGCCCTGGAAGGTCTCTGCTATCATCTGCCCCACCCTCTACAAAAGAGTGCCGAGTCTTCCCCCATCATTCCCACACTCTCCCTGAGGAGTCCCTGGCCAAGGGGACATCGGTTCAGTATGGGCCAAAAAGTGGCAACCACAGAGCTCTGGGGTCCAGCCCATCTTGCTGAGTTTGGATTTATTACCTGGGCTACAAAGGGTTAAGTCAAATGCCTTCAAATACCTATATCCCTGGGGGAAGGAAGAGGAAGAAGCAAAAGGCTCTTCTAAAAGTTGTATTTGTAAGAAAAAGAAAAGGAAAAAAGAACTGTTCACTGGCCAAAGCTGACCCCTTCCCACAGGGGTGCTGCAGGGGACCCCAAACCACACGTCAATCTGATTGGGTCAGAAAGCCTTTCCTGAATTTTTCAGACCCACCCCAATCCCAAACCATTTATGGCCCAGAGAAAATGGAGTTATTTTAAATAAACCCCATTTTACTTATGGAGATGGCCACTCCTTCCAGAACCATCCCGTGCAGCCATCGAAGTCCCTGAGTATCTCTCTAGGCGGGCAGCCAGAGAAAGCTGCTAGGGAGCTGTGGCTTCAACTGAAAATTCTCTCCAGCAAATTGTTTCATGGGGCTTTCAGTACCTGCCTTTTTTTTTTGGAGACAGTCTTATTCTGTTGCCCAGGCTGCAGTGCAGTGGCACGATCTCAGCTAACTGCAACCTCCACCTCCCAGGTTCAAGCAATTCTTCCGCCTCAGCCTCCCCAGTATCTGGGATTACAGGTGCCCACCACCACGCCTGTCTAATTTTTGTATTTTTTGAGATAACATTTCGCCATGTTGGCCAAGCTGGTCTTGAACTCTTGACCTCAAGTGATCCATCTGCCTCAGCCTCCCAAAGTCCTGGGATTACAGGCGTTGAGCCACCACATCCCGCCAGCACCTGGCACTTTTACTGCGGCTTCTTAAGCCCTCAGACCCCTGCATACTGGAAACACCTGGGCTTGGGGTGAGATTCATTTGCGTGGGATCCATTCCTGCCATCTTAGAGCAGCGGTTCTCAGGCGTACGTGCATACCCTGGTGTATCTCATTCATTGAGAAGCGGACCTGAAAAAGATTAACTAATAACAAAGTGCTCAAGTCTGTGGCCGACTTGACTCATGCATTGAGCAGATTCAAGATGATCCGCTTATCAGTGTCGTGCTCACTTTGCATTCTGATAAGCCTTTGTGAGTGGAACGAGCTCTGCCATGGCCTAGGAGGTTCTGTATTATCTTCCAGCCTCACGCCTCATGCCTCGCTTCTCAGTTCTGACGTTGGCCCCTCCCTCTTTTCCGTCAAAGTCTTTGCACTTGCAGAGTCTTTTGCTGGGAGACCTCTTTTCCGAGGCCTTTGCATTGCTCTATTTCCTTCTTTGGAACTCAGCTCAAAAATGGAACTTTTCCAGGTACTGACCTAGAGGGGTCTTAAGAGAGCCTTTGGGGAAGGGAGGTGAGAGGCTGGAAATAGCTTGTTCTTCGATCTACATGGAGGTTTCAGGGTGTGCACATAAGTAAAAAGTATTCACTGAGCTGTCAACTTAAAATTTGGAGAGTCACTGTATGTAAGTAAACCTAAAAAGGCAAACAAACAAACAAAAAGAAACAAATTTCCACCTCTTCCCTGTCTCCTGTTATTCCTATTACTGTCAACCATGGCATGTTCATTTCTATCCTGGCATAATATTATGTTATTTGCCTGGTTATCTGTAAATTGTGTCGTCTGCTAGAATGTAAGCCGCATGAGGACAGATGCTCTGTCTTGTCCACTGCTGCGCCTTTCAGAGAATAGCATAGTGCCTGTTACATAGTAGATACTTTAAAAAGAAGTGAATCAATAGATGGTCGGATGAATAAAAAGGTTTGGATTTAATGATGGGGAAAAAAAGAGGCAGAGGAGGTCAGCCTGAGGCTAGAACTGCTCACTGGACCCCCCACCCCCAGCCTACAGTTGAGGGGTCTTGCTCTGTAAGCCCAAGTCCAGAAGCTTGCTCCCTGCCTGGCGGACCACACTGGCATGTCTATACCTCGTTGGGGTCATCCTGGTCGGCATAGATTAGGAAGCCCGTAAAGAGGCTGTCTGTCCAGTAAGGGTCGTAGAAGAGCCCATTCTGCTCTGAGTAGAAGATCTGCAGCCAGACTTCGTCACCCTGCTTGAGAGCCAGGATGGTGGAGCCCGAGGCCACATCATGGTTGCCGGTGTTGGCATCAAAGGTCCGGATGCGGTACTGGCCGTTGTGCACCAGGCCGATGGCTAGGTGCTTGTTGGCCAGCGTGATGTCGTAGGTGAAGTAGTAGATCCCAGGCACGCCGCAGACGAACTTGCCGCTGGAAGCATTGTAGTGACCACCCTCGTTCATCAGAATCTTGTCAAACTTGATGGGCAGCCGCTCCCGTGGGTAGCTCTTGGTCACTGCCACCGAGAAAGCTGACTTGGTATGGCCACTGCCGCAGCTGCAGGGGCCTGGGAGGCCCGGCTCCCCCTTCTTGCCCTTAGGCCCCTTCTTGCCTGGCGTGCCATGCTTCCCGGGGGTGCCGTTGACCCCCTTGGGGCCACGGGGGCCAGCCCGCCCAATGGCCCCGGCTTTGCCCTTTGGTCCTGGCTTTCCCCGGTTACCTGTCCGGCCAGGTGGACCTGGAAGACAGAGCAGCTGATGTTATGGACGGTCCTCACAGACCTAGGCAGAGGGGTGCGCCTTGGTTTTCCAACCTTGGAGAAGGAGTGCTTGGGTAATGGAAAGAACAAGAAGGCTTTGGAGACACATAGAAGTGGGCGTAAATCCTAACGCTAGCTATCTGGAAAATGGAAATGATGATACTTACCTTCAAAAATCACTGTGGATCAGGGCAAAAAGTTCACACCCTTTCCTTTTCCTGCCTTCTAAGGAAGGGTCTGGTCTGTCTGCCAGATCAATCCTTCCACGGGCTGTGCTGGTAATGGGTTGAGAAGAGAACTAGAAAAAGCCCCTTGATTTCAACACATTGATCTTAGTAAAATCCCTGCCTAGTGCATACAAGCCCTGCCCACGTGTACAAGGATTTTATTGCGGCATTGCTTACAATAGCAAAAAATAGGAACAACTAAATGCCCATCCAAAGGAAAATGATAAAAAAAAATTATGGTCCATTCATACTGTGGATTTCTATGCAGGAGTTAAAAAAAAAAGAAAAGTAGAGTTATGTGTGCTCTATGAAACCTTCTCTAACATATACTAAGAGGAAACAGCAGGTGGCCAGAGCCTTTATGTTAAAAGGAAGCCAGGCTGGGCATGGTGGCTCATGTCTGTAATCCCAGCACTTTGGGAAGCTGGGACTGGAGGATCGCTTGAGGCCAGGAGTTTGAGACCAGCCTGGGCAATGTAGCCAGACACTATCCCTACAAAAATATAAAAATTAGTCAGGCATGGTGGCGTGCGCCTGTAGCCTTATCTACCTGGGAGGCTGAGGTGAGAGGATCCCTTGAGCCCACGAGTTCCAGGTTACAGTGAGCTCTGATTGTGTCACTGCATTCCAGCCTGGGCAACAGAGTGAGACCTTGCCTCTAAAAAATAAAAATTAGGAAAACAAAAGGAATCCACAATGCTAAATATTTCTACACCCATTTAAACGCATAGAAGAGTGCCTGGCCTATAGCAAACATTCCCTAAATACTAGCTGGCATTCCTTGCAGAACAATTCCCCCAATTGTGTTTTCCTTTAGAATGCTTTTTGATGTTTCATACTCATATTTCATAAAATGCACATTTCTCTCAATACAACATTTTTGGCTACTGATTGTATAAAATCAATTTAGTTTATGTCCCTTCAACTCAACATTTTAAACAAAACCTATGTGGATAATGACTTGAGTTCACTGACACAAGGTTATGTCACCCATACGAATTGGGTGGTCAAGGAAGTAATGTTTCAGGCATTTTCCATCCTAACAAGTTACTTTGTTTCTTATACGTCTGTATGTAGGCATTTCACTGTGTTTTAGAGTTCTGAGTTAATCTGTAATGCATCTGAATTTTTCCTATTTTACGTAATTCGGAAATAGGTTTCCAAATTGCATTTTGTTACTGAACACTTGATTTTCAGCAACAGAGTGCTTATGTTAAATGCCTGACAATGCCCAGTATTATTAAACACATATGTAAATACACAGAGAAAGGCCAGAAAACACACACACCTAACCAATTAATAGTGGTTACCTCTGGAGGGTGAGGGGAGGATGAGAAGGGGTAGTAAGTAAGGAGGACTTTTGCTTTATGTGTATTGTTTGAATATATTACAGTGAGACTGTATTTGTATATTACTCATATAATTAAAAAGAAACAGAATGGGAAAAAATAAAACTAAGAAAAGTCACAAAACTCTTGAAAAAATGAAAATAAACAAAAGGTGGGAAAAGGGGCCAAGAGAAGAGGAGTAGAGACAGAACCTTTTTTTTTTTTAGAGATAGAGTCTCACATTGTTACCCAGGCTGGAGTGCAGTGGTGTGATCATAGCTCACTGTAACCTCAAACTCTTGGGCTTGAGTCATCCTCCTGCCTCAGCCTCCTGAGTAGCTGGAATTTCAGGCACACACCACCACGCTTGGTTAATTTTAAAATTTTTTGTAGAGATGGTGCCTCCCTATGTTGCCCAGGCTGGTCTCAAACTCCTGGCCTCCCAGTACTCCTGCCTCGGCCTCCCAAAGTGCTGAAATCACAGGCATGAGCCACCATGCAGCCCCCAAGTCATTTTGACTTGGGGTTTTTGGTGGGAGACAAATAGGTAAGAAAGCTTACCGGGAAGTCCTACCATGAACTATATGACGTGCTTTCCTCTTCAATTTTTTTTTTTTTTTTTTTTTTTTTTTTTTTGAGACGGAGTCTCGCTCTGTCGCCCAGGCTGGAGTGCAGTGGCGCGATCTGGGCTCACTGCAAGCTCCGCCTCCCGGGTTCACGCCATTCTCCTGCCTCAGCCTCCCGAGTAGCTGGGACTACAGGTGCCCGCCACCTCGCCCGGCTCGTTTTTTGTATTCTTTTTAGTAGAGACGGGGTTTCACCGTGTTAGCCAGGATGGTCTCGATCTCCTGACCTCGTGATCCGCCCGTCTCGGCCTCCCAAAGTGCTGGGATTACAGGCGTGAGCCACCGCGCCCGGCCTCCTCTTCATTACCTTTTTTGAGAGACTTCAGGAAAAGCTGACTTTACTCTTGAAAGACTTTTCTGGGGGTGAATTTGTGTGTGTGGTGATGGGGGGCGGTTGGATGTTATCCTGAATTGGCCCCAGGGTGACAAGCTTCGTCTGGGTTACATGTGCTGGGTTCCCAGCACCGCCTTCCTTGGTGTGGTGGCTTCCTTCTCTGCAGAGACTCAACACATAGCAGAAGAGATGGCCAAAGGCAGCCCCAGTACACGGTAGAACTTCCTGGTAAGCTTTATCTATTTGGGGAAAAAGTCAACAGCAGGGACTCTGTCCCTCAGGATCCATAGGCAAACCTCAGGGAAATCTCTAGCTGGCCTGCTTGGAGCTCATGTCCAGACCTCAGTCTGCCGCTGTGGTCAGGAAATTGGATATCATGACACCAGTGCCCAGCACGCTGGAAGACCCGCCCCCCCCCCCCACATACCGCCAGTCAAAGCTATGATGGTTACTTTTATACTAATCTCCTGGGGAGGAGGTACTTTTGAAGGAATTAGTTTGGTGTAGTAGGAAAAGACCTGGATTTGCAGTCAACTATCTGTGTGTTATGTGAGCTCAATAAGTCCATTACAGGGTGCCTAACATTTATTGTATGTCTACGCTGAGACAGGTGCTTCATACACTGTTTTATTTCATCTTTACCACAACCCTGTGAGACAAGTGCTATTATTATCCACATTTTAGAGATGAGGAAACCATGGTTTGGAGAGAGGTTAAATAGTTTGCCAAAATCAGTGTCCAGGTTTGTTTCCAAAGTTCATGTTCTTGCAGGGATGATATTTTGCTCTCAACTGAATTACTCTGATTCTCAGTATCCTCATCTGCAACATGGCGAAAATAAGAATCCCTCCGGCACAGGATATGGATGGTCAGATGGGCAACATGCTCAAAAGTGCTTTGTCAACATGAAAATGCCATACAAATAAAAATTATTATATTTCTCTACTGCTTAAAATGTAGGCTTAGGGATGCTGCTGACACTGAAAAGTGCTTGGTTGCTAGGGTGAAAGTTTGGAGATATAAGGAATGTCACAGCGGAAAGGTCTGTAGAGTATATCCATTCTGCTTGCCGTCTGCCTGGCATCCCTTCCTTTGGGGAGCTGCCGTTCACCATTTCATTTCATATGGTCCTAGCAGGGCTGTCAGTCACAATGACTCACACACACTCACACACACACACACTCACACACGCACACAGGGGTGGCCCCATGAGCCTGCCCTGCAAACGGCGGCACCTCACCTCCTTGGTCAAGGGAATTGGTCCAGGATACATATGTGGCCAAGGAGAATTGGCTGTTCTGAGATTTGCTCTGTGGATGAAGCCAGGAAGATGTGGGCCTGAGCCCAGCAGTTGCTATTTCAGAACTTCCAGCCTTTGTGAGGATGCAACAAACACAGAGAGAAGCAGAGCCCTGACAATGATATTTGAGCTCCCGGACTCAGCTATTCCTGGAGCTCGGCTCTTGGATGTCTCTGTTTTGTTTTGTTTTGTGTTTTGTTTTTGTTTTGTTTTGTTTTGTTTTTTTTTGGAGACAGGATCCCGCTCTGTTGCCCAGGCTGAAGTGCAGTGGTGCAATCTCAACTCACTCTAACCTCGGCCTCCCGGCTTCAAGCAATTCTCCTACCTCAGCCTCCAGAGTAGCTGGGATTATAGGCATGCGCCACTAGGCCTGGCTAATTTTTTGTATTTTTAGTAGAGATGGGGTTTTGCCATGTTGGCTGGGCTGGTCTTGAACTCCTGGCCTCAAGTGATCCGCCCACCTCAGCCTCCCAAAGTGCTGAGATTACAGGTGTGAGCCACTGCACCTAGCCTGATGTCTCAGTTTTATGAGCTAATACATTCCATTTGGGACTGTAAGTTGGGTTTCTGTCACTTTCAATCGTCAAGAGTTCTGAGTAATATTTTGGGAGACTTTTCCAAAGTCACTTAGCAACCCAAAGGTGCACCAGGGGCAGGAACACAAAATTCAATACCCATGTTCCTTTCAGTATAAACTGCTCTGAGGCTGGGCACAGTGGCCCATGCCTGTAATCCCAGCACTTTGGAAGGGCAAGGTAGATGGATCACTTGAGATCAGGAGTTTGAGACCAGCCTGGCCAACATGGTGAAACCCTATCTCTACTAAAAAAACCTCAAAAATTAGCCGGGTATAGTGACATGCGTCTGTAGCCCCAGCTACTCAGGAGGCTGAGGCAGGAGAATTGCTTGATCCCAGGAGGCAGAGGTTGCAGTGAGCTGAGATCACACCACTGCACTCCAGCCTGGGCAACAGAGCAAGCCTCTGTCTCAAGGTGGGGGGGAATATATATATATATATCTGTTTATAAGTAAACAGTAATCTGATTTATAATGAAGAGGATTAATACTAGTTTTATCAACTTCATGACGTCCCTTGCATGCCGGATGCTGTCAGCCCGGTGGGAACGAGAGGGGCAGGTGTAGGCCTCTTACCTTCCTCTCCGCTGTCCCCCCTGTCGCCGTCCTGTCCATCTTGGCCGTCTTTGCCAGGAAAGCCCATTCGTCCCATCATTCCTGAGGGCCCTGGGGCTCCTGGGGGGCCGGGTGGGCCCTGGGGGCCAGGCAGGCTGCAGACCAGTTGAGGGGAGCCTTTCCGGAAGTCCCTGCGAGCAAAGGCGCCAAGCAGTGGGTCAGCAGCGCAGGGGAGGGCACAGGCCAAGAGCACCCAGGGGATCATGGTGGTCACCTGTGGGAGGCAAGAGAGCTGTGACAGGTGAGTGTGGCCACCAAGCTGGCCTGGGTCTGGTCAGAGGGGATGCACAGGAGGAGGCAGTTGGGATACACTCAACTGGATTTCTGTCTCTTGCTCTTTCCTGCATCACATTCAAGTAGATGTGATGTGGACAGAGTCGTCATATCTTGAGGAAGTATTTGGGTGAGTGGAGTCATTACCCAGAATACACTTTGAAGGGGTCTCGGGGGTGAGGCACTCATCATCAGACCATCATCCCCCAGAGTGGCTGAAATGGATGCAGACCTTATGACCCAGAGACTGGTGACTGGGAGGAGCTGTGAATGGAGAGAAATGATTCATGGTTTCATCCAAATCTATGGCATGAATAGAAAGTTACAGTTCTACAAGGGTAGAAATGTTTGAATTGTAGGTGACTTTGCAAGTAGTCTGCTTCTCACGGGAGACTCAGGGTTGCGCATGAGGAGGGCTGAGGATTCAGTTACTGAGTGGAGGTCAACCATCACCTGAGCGACCTTGGCAGGCCGGTAGCAGCTCCTCCCCCAGGTGCTTCCTGTGCGCCAGGCATGTGCTAAGAGCTTTCCATTCATTACTTGATCTTCACAATACCCTTATAGGATATATAGGAGAGGAAGCGGAGGCTCAGAGAAGTTGAGCAATGTGTCTACATCACACTTTTCCAACCCGGGGCCTGTGGGCCGCATGCACCCCAGGATGGCTTTGAATGCAGCCCAACACAAGTTTTGTAAACTTTCTTAAAACATCATGAGATATTTTTTGCGATTATTTAAAGTTCATCACTTTAAAATTTTTTGCGATTTTTTAAAGTTTAATGTTATAAACTTTTTTTAAAGTTCATAACATTAAAGTTAATGTTAGTGTATTTTATGTGTGGCCGAAGACAATTCTTCTTCCGATGTGGCACAGGGAAGCCAACAGACTGGATGCTCCTGGTCTACATCACGCGATGAGTAGATGGCAGGGCTAAGGTTTGAACCAGGCCATCCAGATCCAGAGCCTGTGCCCTCCCGTCCCAGGCTAGACCGTGTCCTTAAGGCTGATGGCAGCAATAGCACGATCCCACTGGAGATCAGTGTGCTATACACCCAGAGGTATTTACTCCCTGCCCTCACTATGCATTCGCAGAAACTGAGACCCAGAGCAGAAATAAGCAACTTGCCCAAGATCTCTCAACAAATCAGTTCCGTTGCTTTGCAATTAACAGCCTCTCTCTCAAGAATGAAACCAGGAGGGGGAACATCCCAGGCATGGCTTCCTGCCATGGAGATAAACTATGAAATGGTAACTTGCTTTGTGACCTTAGGAAAACCCTTTTCCCTCTCTGGGCCTCAGTTTCCTCACCTGAACAACAGGGGCTGGATTAGAGCAGTGGTTCCTAAACTTCAGTGCGCATCACACTCACCTCGAGGGCTTGTTAACACACAGGTTGTTGGGCCTTATCCCTAAAGTTTCTGATTCATTAGTTCTGGGGTGAAGCTGGATTGTTTGCATTTCTAATAAGTTTCCAAATGTTGCTGCTGATGGAGGTCCAGAGACCTTGTTTTGGGAACCACTAAAGTAGATGGTCTCTAGGGTCCCTTCTAGCTGCAATGCTGAGCCTTTCAGACTTCAATCTGTTCTCTTTCCAGATACAAAGCACTGTGGGCTTCATAGTCCTCACTCAGCCTGTGGCTATCCAATCAGAGCATTTGAGTATTAGGGGCATCCTCGGCAGCTGTGGTCCTGGTTGCACGGCAGGCGCATTGCTCAGGCATTTAACTTTGGAACTCATTTTTCCTTCTAGGCCTTCAATCTCCTTTCCCTTCAGACTCTGCTTGGCCCCTGGCTCTTGGAGAGCCTGTCCAGGACTTTTGGCTGCCTCTGGCTGTTCCCCTCAGAAACAGGCTGACTATACCTCTCCTCCTGCCCCCTCCAGGATCTTTAACCCTGGAAACAGATGCTGAGGGGAAGGCCTGGGCTTGCAGAGAAAGGAAAATGTTCATTGCCCACATCCCAGCAGTGTGACAATCACAGGGCCCACAATTGTAACTCCCAAAGAGCCTGCAAAAGGCCCTCATGGAAAAGATAGCTTTAAATGTCTGCCAGGCACAGAGATGCAGAGTAGTCTAGGCCCGCCCCAGTCATGAAACATCTAGAAATCCTCCTCCTGTCCTTGTACCTCGCCTCCCTTCAACTTGGAAAGAGGTGAGCTGACAAGGGGAGCAGATGGCCTTGCCCGTTTCACACCTTCACTCGGTGAGCAGGAAGAAATCTCACCTTCGAATGGAAGGGTTGCCAGGGAGTGGAGACTTCAACCAGGGGGAGGAGGAGCTCCCCTCACTGACTAAATTATAAGTAGGGAGGGGCAGGAAAAAATAAGGATGCAGTTTGATTGTATTTCTGATGTCACACTTGCTCAACCTAGGTTACATAAATAATAGTAGAGGTGGTAGGCAGATACGGCAAACATCGTGGAAACGTTACATAAATGACAGGTGCTTTTGGAAAACTATGGCCTAGACACTCCCCAGGCCCTGCGAATCACCATTTCTTTCCCTTGTCTACATGATGAGGGTCTTGGAAAACTGGTTAGCCTTATTTGTGAGCTGCAGCACATCTGGGACCCCCAGAATAGAAACTGAATTTTTAAAGCAGGTTCGAAATGATTTGGAAAGTTGCAGTCTACAAACATTTTGCAGTAGGGAGAGAGGGAGGAAGGAAGTGGAAGCCAGTCTTCAAGGCAGATGAGAATCCTGCAAACAGCTAGCTGAAGACAGGCAGAAAAGAGAGCCAGCCGGACGAGAGAGAGGCAGAGAAAGGGAACCATCTGTCACAGTTGACAGCTCCCCTCTCTCTTCTGACCTCCATGCCCAGCCACACAGGCTCCACAAGAGGAAGGTGGATTTGCTCTCTTGACCACAATGGCCTTGCACCAGCTTCTCCGGACAAAGAGGGAATGCCTCTCTGCAAAAGGTGGTTCCGGGTAGGCCCCAGTGCCTGGGCGGAGGGGTGTGTGTCTGAGACACACAGGGAGGAAGGGTTTTCTGAGCTGGAGCCTGAAGGCTCCTAGAGTCCCAGAGGAGTGCTGGCAGCTACAGCCAGGAAATGTTTTGGAAATAAAGGCGGGGAGACTAGATTCTAGTTCCAAACCTAGAGGAAGGGAGGGAGAGGAGAGTCTCCTTGCCTCCACAGCACCTCCAAGAAAAACAAGGCTCCAAATAGCCCTGCTCCCAGCTTGTGCCCTGCGCCACACTCACCCCATTCTCTACACAATGGTGTTGAGAAAGCCTGGGGGCAGGGTGCTTAGAGGGGCACTAAGGCCCCAAGGAATCCAGGCAGATTAACTCTTCCAGGGCCTTTCTTTATTTTTCTTTTCTCTTTAGGGATGGGGGTCTTGCTCTGTTGCCCAGGCTGGAGTGCATGGTGCAAGAGCTCACTGCAGCCTTGAACTCCCGGGCTCAAGTGATCCTCCTGCCTCAGCCTTCTGTCCCAAGTAGTTGGACCTACAGGAGTGTGCCACCACTGTCAGCTTGCACCTTTTAAATACATTTAGAATCACGAACTTGGGAAGGGCCTCAGGGAACCATCTAATCCAACCTCTTCAGTTACAGATGGGGAAACCAAGGCAGAAGCAAACCCACCTTATTACACACCTACAATGTTCCAGGCACTGTGTGAAGCCCTGTATCTACAATTTTTTTTTTTCCTCACTTTGTCGCCCAGGCTGGGGTGCAGTGGCATGATCTCAGCTCACTGCAACCTCCACCTCTCGGGCTCAAGTGTTCCTTCCTCCTCAGCCTCCCGGGTAGCTGGGACTATAGGAGCATGCCACCATGCCCAGCTAATTTTTGTATTTTTTGTAGAAATGGGGTCTTGTCATGTCACCTGCTGGTCTTGAACTCCTGGACTCCAGTGATCCACCCGTCTCAGCCTCCGAAAGTGCTGAGATCACAGGCGTGAGTCACCGCATCCAGCCTGCTGTATTGTTTTATATGGAGCTTACCTAAGTCCTATGAAGCTTACTTGAGCCCTTATTGTCCCATTTTTTTTTTCAGAGGAAAAAACAGATACTCCAAGAAGTGAAGTTATCTACTCAGAGTCACACCATCAGAGATTAATGGAGATGGCGTTCAAACCCATGTCGTGTGCCTCTGAAGACTGTGCTTAATCCATGCCCCTTGCTTCCTGCCCCTGCTATTTCCCCCCCATTTTATAGAAGACACTGAAACTCAGAGAGGCTAATTTACTTATGTTTACACAACTAGCTGGTGGCAGAAGTTATATTTGAACTTGGGTTTGGCTGACCCTAGTACCCAAATGCTTTCCATTATTTCAGCATTTCTTATATTTTTCCTCCTAAATATCCCACATTACAGAAAAGACCTTGAAGCATATGCCAAAACCACACACAGCCATAGAGAAATCTCTCTGATGCCCTGTATTTTATTTTACAATTTTTACACACACACTACATGACTTTGAAAATGTACAAGAGGCCCACACTTGGACTAGACAAGGTGATGAGAGGCGTGGAGGGGACAGCCTCCCGGACCCTGGGTCCCCACTATAAGCCCCTTTGGTTTTTTGTTTTGTTTTTTTTTTTTTTTTTTTTTTTTTTTTGAGACGGAGTCTAGCTCTGTTGCCCAGGCTGGAGTGCAGTGGCCGGATCTCAGCTCACTGCAAGCCCCGCCTCCCGGGTTCACGCCATTCTCCTGCCTCAGCCTCCCGAGTAGCTGGGAGTACAGGCGCCCGCCACCTCGCCCGGCTAATTTTTTTTGTATTTTAGTAGAGACGGGGTTTCACCGTGTTAGCCAGGATGGTCTCGATCTCCTGAACTCGTGATCCGCCCGTCTCGGCCTCCCAAAGTACTGGGATTACAGGCTTGAGCCACCGCGCCCGGCCAACCCCTTT